TGAAAGATTGAAATGGCTGTGCCGTCAACCATACACATGCCGTCAACCGCCAGTCGTCATTAGACTAAATACAGCATCAATGACATAAGGACGCTTAAAATAGGGTTGTTCGAATGAGCGGAATGAGCCATCGGGCCGGTCGGACAAAAAAATAAAAAAATTTTTTTTTTTTTCCAATTCGTCTAAAAAACCTTTTTCTGCTGAACATTTTATGGGTGGGGGGGGGGTATTGGACCGGCCATGGAGCGATGATGAACATGTTGTATGTGGCCGGTAGCTTTAACGGGCCGCCACAATATTCCTAACTGGTTAATCAAATGGTCAACATTTTCTCAACTAGTCCCATTTTTTAACCAGTTAAATTCTCTTGACTCTTGACGATACAATGATAATACGTCAATTAATAATATGACGATATGATAATTTCACAGGTTGATGGTTGTAAATTACTTAGTCCGGGCTACGCGGTCAGTAAAAGGGGCCGCTCCGACACGGGAGCCCGGGCCGGTTCCCGGCCCCAATCCGCCCCTGAATCCACTGCGACCTCTGCTCCGGTCTACTTAGAGCAAAGCACAACAGTTTGCTAAACTCTTTGAAATGAAATGAAATGAAATGAAATAAAATTGGGTTTAACGGCCTACTTAGAGCAAACCGCCACAGTTTGCTAAACTCTTTGAAATGAAATGAAATGAAATGAAATGAAATGAAATAGGGTTTAACGTCCTACTGTTCTGCTCCGCTGAACACTTTGAAATATAATGTAGGTCTACGACTCAACAATTGTACTTTAAAACTATTTTAACTTCAAATGGATTGCCACATTGTTTGAATTGGTGCACGCATTGTTGGCCGAACAGGTGACCAATTAGTGTCGTCCAATAAATAGCAGACTCATGGCTTCGAGTTACGATGAGTGAAAAAAAGAACAAAAACGATGTTGATGGTACGAACTCTCTAGTGCATCTCACATGCTTTATTTTGGACTACATTTATATATTATTGCATGCTTGTATTAAAACGCCAATAGACGTAATTAACCAGTCACTCTTCACAGCTGAAGGGAGTTTATTTCTAACACATTGTTAGAATGAAATGAAATGGGGTTTTACGTCCTACTTGTCTGCACTGACTGAGCTGAAGACGTGTACATGCCGTGCAATGAGATATGAGGGAAATTTTGCCCGGACAGCGGCGCTACGGCTTACTCTTATACCGAATTCTAATGACCAAGTGTTCTTTTACTTGCATGCCAATTTGTACACAGGGAATCGTTGGGTTTTTTTTGTCCCATCCGAAGACTAGTCATTATAAGTTAATTGTACGTTAAATGAATCCCATTTCATAGACAGAATTTCAATCGAGTGACGCGGAATTCACTCCTGTCACAGTTCTCTCAGCCCGACTCAACGGAGAATCGTGACGTAATTAAACACAACCAACATGTTTTGGTTGCCATGGTTAGTTGAAATAATGTCTGATGCAATTAGCGCATGCGTTGTCAAGCCCCCCTCCCTGAAGTCACCATTTTCACTGTATTGTCACCATGTTTGGGATTAAAAGAATTAAATTCCAGAAAGCGCAATCGGGTATCTCCACAGAGGGGAGGGGGGGGGGGTTGTAGGTAACTACAGCTACATTTGTCTTCCGTGCGATAAGGAACCGAGGCGCACCGAGTCAAACCGCGACATGGGTCTATTATAGGCTTATTGTTGTTGTTGCCTTGAAATGTATTGTGGTAATAAAGGGACTTGTAGTGTAGTGTATTGTGTTAGAAATTATGGTGATTGATTATAATATTACATTTCAAAAATATCACCGGAGTGTGTTTTGAATCCCCAGTTGAAGTGAGTGCTGATCAATTAGCTAATAGGCTAGTTTATCATATAATAAGTTACGGTTCAACGCCCGAGAGAGAGAGAGAGAGAGAAGAGAGAGAGAGAGAGAGTGTGTTTAACGTCCCCTCGACACAAACTAGGTCATTTCGGGACTAACATATGGTTCAATTTTATTTCAATAATTCGTTTGACTGTAGGGGTCTTTAGCAGTGGGAGGGACCCGGAAGATCCGGAGAAAACCCACGAGATTAGACAGGCGACCCTACTCCTTGTCACGTACAACCGGGGAATCGAAACCACGCCAGTTGAGACAATGACAGACCCCGAAGCTTGAAGGAGTTCATTAAATATAACATCATCTTCTCCAATATAAACGGTCGTTCTGTAACTCCATAACGGACGCACATTGTCTTTCATCTTTGATATTAGGCAGGCATTATCTGAAAGCTAAATCTGCCAGCTGCCAATAGCAGGTCTTTCTTTAGGCCTGAAATGTTATATGAATTATTAATAAGACATTAATTAACTTACCAAGACCATAATCAACTCGATGGCATCGGATACTCGAGATTGTCAGCAGGCCCGTAGCCAGTGGGGGTAAGGGGGGGGGGGGGGCAATGCCCCCCCTGAAAAAGTGTTTTGCGCCCCCGAGAAAAAAGTTGTCGACCATAGCTCTAAAATACCTAAAGTAGACTGTGCCCCCCGCCCCTCCTCAAACCTTCACTGCCCCCCAGCAGCCAGGCTATGTGTCTGATTGTCAGTATAGATTTAAGTACGATTTGCGGTGGAAGATATAACGTAAAACTGGATAATAGAGACTTTATTTATAATTGTAACAATGGTTGCAATGACAATCGAGGCTACACTGTAATTGTATCGGCGATAATTCGGCTCAGACTGAAGATATTTGACTGAAATTTCCATCATATTGCCTTTTCATTATCCATTTTTTTAACTATTAGGACTATAGCGAAAACTCTCATCTTTTTTCCTAATCTTACACCCGACACAAACTAGGTCATTTCGGGACTAACATATGGTTTAATTTTATTTCAATAATTCGCTTGCGCGTAGCTGTCTTTAGCCGTGGAAGGAAAGCAGGGGACCCGGAGAAAACCCACACAGTTGGGCAGGCAACCCTACTTCTTGTCACGTACAACCGGGAGACCCAGAGATAACCCACGAGGTTAGGCAGGTGACCCTTCTCCTTGTCATGTACTTTCTGACCATTTTGTAGGCTACTAATATTATTACCATTATAACAGATTAACCGTATTTTCACCCTGACGAGAGTTCGTTTAGAATTTAAAGCTAATTAATTTCCCATGGACGACACGCATGTCAGTGATTGGGTGTGAATGTGTTGAATTTAAATCCTTGACTAGTGACAACAGTTCGGTATCTTGAACTCTCGTATTCCCTTGACAACCACAAACATGGTGGCTGGTAACATTAACGTTCTAAAGCTGTCTTTTATAATAATAGCCTAAATAACCATCTTATCTAAGATGCGACACCACCACCGAAATGTCTAGGGAAATTCAAGTATTCCATTTAATCAAATTTTTAATTCAACGGTTGAACAAAAACAATGTTCAAGTCTTTCTACTGATTAAAATTTCATCATAGTAAAAGCAAGGATATGTAACTTTCTTCTGTTACAAAAAAAAAAAAAAAATCATCATGGCGTATTATTTTTTTAAATGGTTGCACTTGATTGATTGTTTCTGTTATACTATTCGCACGGATGGGTTAAGGAATTATTTTAGTTTGTTTTTCTGTTAATGTCAATAAATATTGTGTTCTTTTTCGAGGTCGTGCGAGTTAATTTTGTGTGACAGATATCGACTAATTTATTCTTAAAATCAAACGAAATGCCAGAGTTTAACGTCTTATTTTGCTCCGCCAACTGGGCAAATGAAGACGCCGTTTCCTCCCACTGTTAAAGACCCCTATGCGCAAGCGAATTATTGAAATAAAGTTGAACCATGTGTTAGTCCCGAAAAGACATAGTTTAAGTGTCGAGTGGACGTTTAACCCCATTTTTATCTCTTTCTCTACAACTACACCACACTGATCAGCAGTGAATTTTCGCTAGGCCTCTACACAATCACTGATAAGGATGACATCGACGCGACTTAATGAGTCTCAAATATTAACTTTTTTCTCCCGTCAAGTTAAATTCTAAAACATTTTTTTTTCATTTATTAGAAAAATAAATAAAGACGTTTGAATTGTTTGTAGGTAAAACTCATTTCCTATTTAGTGTAAATGGGTATAAAAATAAGTAAAATTCACCATTTAGCCCGAATCAGTAACGTCTTATGTAAACAATGCACGCGCTATTGAGCCAATGATTGACGCCGCGTGATGTGACGTCACGTGTCGAAACAGTCATCTGTTACAGAGATATTAGAATATCTCTGTGAAACAGATTGCATGTACACGTGACCTCAGTTTTTTGTCACATCCGACCAAATGACTAGACACCAGACAGTAAATCGGAGGACCCGGAGAAAGTCTGCGATGTTGGACAGGCGACCATACTCGTTGTCACGTACAAGCGGGAATGGGACCCGGAGAAAGGACACGAGGTTGGACAGGCGAACACACTCATTGTCACTTGCAAGCTGGGGATCTAAACCACGCCCTGACAAGGACAGCTGTCAAGTTGTTCGAATGGGACGAAAAACCGAGGCCCCGTGTACACATTTGCGTGCACGTAAAAGATCCCTTGGCAAAATTTCCCTCATAGCACACTGTATGGCGTATGCCCGTCTTCATTAGCCGAGGTTAGGAGCAGAACAGTGGGACGTTAAACCCCATTTCATTTCATTTCTAAACCACGCCACTTGACTCAATGACAGATCTTATGACCTAAAGCGCACGTGTTAGATGCAAAAATTAGAATATGTATATATATATATATACATTATCAATATCTGAAGACGCCCATAGAAGGCAGACAGCTAGCCTATTTGATTTAATGTATGTCAGAATGAAGTAAAGTGGATTTTTTTTTACCTGGACGTATTTTGTATTTATTTATTTATATATGTATCTACCGTAAACAAAGCAGTACTTGTACTTTATCTACTTTAATATACTATGTTGTGGAGCCTAGGTGGAGCCTAGATTATACTCATCATTTTATTTGTTTTTCAGGTATGGCATTTTGTGTACTTGTCGTTCGTGATGCTGTCCATTACAGTTTTTTGTGTGTCCACCATTCCAAGCTTCAGACTTCAAGACAGCCCGGGTACACAGAATGCATCGGAGATCGCTTTACAACCTTTTTATATCTTGACGCACACGCACCCGACACCCATACTGCTTTACTTGGATAACGTGTGCCTCGTCTTCTTTACACTCGAGCTACCAATCAGATTTCTCGTCTGTCCGACAAAGAAAGCATTCTTCAAACGTGCGTTAAATGTTCTCGATCTGTTTCTGGTGACTGTAATGATAACCGCCTTCGGCCTTGACCATTCACCTGCCTTTTATCGGAATGACGAAACCATCAAAACCGTAGAAACAATTGTTAGGTTGTTCCTAGGGTTACGAGTCTTTCGTATTTTCCACCTGGCAAGGCGCTACCCAACCATCAAAATACTATATCTTACCGTCAAGGCGAGCCTTCGCGAACTTCTCCTGCTATTGGTGGGCCTTACCATGGCCGTCATCGTTTTTGCGACCTTTGTCTTTTTGGCGGAAGCGATGTCCTGTTCGAATAGTTTCACGAGCATACCTTACGCAATATGGTGGGCGATCATCACCATGACAACGGTTGGCTATGGAGACGTTTACCCAACAACGGTCCTTGGTTACTTCGTTGGGATCTGCTGTGCTTTATCTGGTTTGCTGTTGCTGTCCATGCCAATCGCAATAATCGCGGCCAATTTCGGAGCTTACTACTCGAACTTGACCGTTAGAGAGGAAAGGGTGAAAAGAGAAGACACGCGCGCCCATTTGAAAATGCGGAATGCCGCAGAAGCCATGAAGATGAAACTGGCGGTAAAAAAGTTATTCAATGTGACATCCAAGTCCAACAAAACAGACGACATTACCACGAGGTTATCCGAATTAACGGCACCTATTAGTAATACTACGAATCAGAAGAATTGGGAAATTCCTAAAGAAAAAGAAGTTGGGAATAGGACGAAATATACGTCACGACCTAAGAAAGTTTTAGGTCAGTCGGAAATAAAATACTAAGAGCAAGAGAGTTTTCCCATAAAACTGACTGGCGGCACATTTGTTACTTCAGCAGGACTGAGTTTTTTTGTCCGATTCGATGAAATTTATTGAAATGCGGTAACCCTCTTTCGGCCTAGAAACTTATGTATAAAAAGTTAGCTGCTTAGGCCTATCCAAGTTTATATGCCATGAAAGAAAGTATTTACACGATAAAACCCCGAATCTTTACATAAACTAGTACTGTACATAATAGCCTACATATTTAATCATATTTGTGGTTTCTTTTGGGTTCAAAGTTTATATTTTGTGACAAATCAAATGAAAAGGACGTACGTGACGTCGCGATATGTGCCTGCGCAGGGAATGGATATGGTGATTCATAGTGATGCGAGCGCTCAACCGGATGTGCTTCTGCTAGTCAGTGCCAGATGTAGATGAAGAGCGGCTATTCCACATTATGAGCCCCCCCCCCCCTCCCAGTCTCCCACCCTCCCACCCTCACGACTAGAGGAAGGATATGGTGATTCATAGTGATGCGAGCGCTCAACCGGATATCCGTCACTTCTGGTGAATTTGAGAATATAATGTACCATTAGACCGGGATATTCAGGGGCGGATCCAGAGGGGAGGGGGACCCCCCCCCCCCCCCCGCCCTGCTCAGCTACATAACAACATTGTAAAACAACTTTTTTTATTAGAAAAGTGTCACAATTGTGCTTTATCCTTTATCGTCAGATGGTGCGACAGGATGGGCATTCAAAGCGCGAGATAATGATATACACATGCGATATCACAATTAATGCTTTGCATCAATAAAATTGAATCACAATATCATCGTATTAATTCATAATAAAAATTGACGTCAAACAGGATGTTGGATTTCTCTGTTTAAAAAGCTCAATGTGCATGTATATACGCCAAAATGACGATAGAGACCATGTATTTCTCAAAAAATTTCAAGCCGAGTGTGGGGGGGAGATACATTTTCTCAGGAACCCGGCAAACCCCCTCCTGCAAAAATTCCTGAATCCGCCCCTGATATTTTAGATCATTCAAATGACACCAGGGCCCTGTTTTACGAAATCTTAACTAAAGATAAAATCCAAATTTTAGCAGATACCTCAGTTTTAATTGGCTAAGCACTAAAGTCAATCTAATATTATCCAATTAAATTACTAAAATTTGGATTTTATCTTAGTTGAAATTTCGTGAAACAGGCCCCAGGGTCATATCCATGTAGTCTGGCCGACAACTGTTCTAATATTGTAATCACTCGAGTAACAAAATGACTTTTTATACGCCAACATTTTCACGTGGACGTATATTGTCGTCGCCCCTGTCCGTTCGTCCGGACGTTCACATTGTTTGTGAACCCCCTAGCTGTCACAATTTTTATCAGATTTTGAAGAAACTTAACATATATGTTTATATCCCACAGATCTCGGTTTTATCCGATTTAAAAAACATTTCACCGTTACACCATAATGGCGGATGAGTTCGAATTTCGTGAGGGTTGTGGACCCTCCAGAGGTCACAATTTGTATCCGATTTTAATGAAATGTAAAATATATATGTTTATATTCCAAAGATCTCGGTTCCTGGATTGTGACCCTTGATTGCACTTAAAATCGCCTATTGTTTTAGCTTGTTCTCTGTCCATCTCTTGCAAAATGTGGGCGTATCTTGCATGGCAACAGCTTGTTTTTTGTGCTATGTACATGTAATTACCGATTGTTACCGTACACAGTTGCCGTCATTCGTTCACCATATCTTATGGTTTAATGGTCGAGAGCGAGCCGTTAAGTAATATATTGAAACAACCCGAGATGTTGTTTCAATAGATTGTTTAATGTCTCGCTCTCGACCATTAAACAACTTAAAATACAGACACTCGCATGTGCTTTGCAATGAAATAGGTCATGCTGTTCTAAAATTTCAACTAGTATAAATAATGTATGCTTGACACATTGCCCGCCTGTCTGCGATATCACCTCGGTTGAAGCGAACGTTAAATAAAGCTATTTTAAACACACACATTGCCCGTTCCATTATTTGAAATAATGGTACGCCAACATCAAAGGATGACGTCACATCTGTATTTTAAGTTGAATTATAGTACTATTCCGTTCGTTTTCACCCATACTAATTACTAAACTTAGGCTGTCTGTCTACAGTTAGCTCCCCTTGAGAACAGACAGGCACTTAGCTAGTTGACCGACATTTAAGTCTTAAATCGGCGATTTTAGTCTAAAACACTAAGTATACTTCGAGAATTTTGTTAAGCATTTATTCTGCTTCCATTTAATGAAATTCAAAAAAAATATTTAGTCTTTGTGTGTATTAGAGATGTGAAACTCAGTAGAAACGAATTACAAAACAATATACTAATTTTTTGATATGGCGGCCATTTAGGGCAGAGATCTATTCTCGAAGTATGGAATAGATGGATCTTTGTGTGCAGTCACTATTATTCCATTGGTTTCAACGGATACTCATTGTTTTAGATTTGTTTTGTTAGGAGGGGGGGGGGGGCTGTCTAGTCATTCGGATGAGACGATAAACCGAGGTCCCGTGCATACATTGGCGTGCCACGGAAAAGATCCCTTGGCAGTTGGAATTCGATATAACAGTAGGTCATAGTGCCGCTGCCCGAGTAGGCCGTAGTACCACTGTCCGGGCAAAATGTCCGCCATAGCACACTGTATGGCGTATGCACCTCTTCATTATCACAATCGGAGCAGAACAGTAGGACGTTAAACCTCATTTCATTTCATTTTCATTTCTTTTGGCGGGTAGGATGGCCGAATGGTTAACACAAGCTCGTTGAATCAAAAGGTCTGTCATTGAGTAAATTGGCGTGGTTTCGATTCCTCACTTGTACATGACAAGGAGTACGGTCGCTTGTCCAACCTCGTGGGTTTTCTCCGGGTACTCCAGTTTTCTCTCACTGCTTAAGACCCCTACGCGCAAGCGAATTATTAAAATACAATTGATCCATATGTTAGTCCCGAAATGACCTAGTTTGTGTGGACGTTAAACCTCATTTCTCTCTCTGTGTTTTGTTCTTATGTTGATCTAAGAAACTTACAAACTGGATAACCAAGATGGTCTTTCGCGCAACAACGCATGCGTCGAATGCATAAGATAAAATCTCAACCAACCATGGCAGCTGAAACATATTCGTTGTGTTTAATTACGTCACGATTGTACTCACACCACCTTCGTTGTCGGGACTGACAAAACTGTGAGGGGACTGAATTCCGACCCACTCAATTGTGATTCTGTCAATTCGGAACGTTCTGGTCTGACAATTGAGCATCCCCTATGTTTCAGGGGCGGATCCAGGAATTTTTGCAGGAGGGGGTTTGCCAGGTTCCTGAGACAATGTATCTACCCCCCCCCCCTCCCACATGGTCTCTATCGTCATTTTGGCGTATCTACATACACATTGAGCTTTTTAAGCAGAGAAATTCAACACCTCGTTTGACGTCAATTTGAATTTTTATTATGAATTAATACAGTGACATTGTGATTCAATTTTATGGATGCGAAGCATTAATTGTGATATCACATAATGTCTATATCATTATCTCGTGCTTTGAGTGCCCATCCTATCCCACATCTGACGATAAAGGATAAAGCACACGGCCGAGAAACTTTTCTCATAAAAAGTGTTCATTTACAAAAAAAAATTATGTAGCTGAGCCCCCCCCCCCCCTGGATCCGCCCCTATGCCTGTTCCGCAATCTCATTCAGATATCGTAAATAGTGATATTGTTTAAATAGAAAGTAAAGTGGTGGCCAGACTCTCTGTGTATATTGCCCTGGGGTACACCCTTCACCCGATTCTTAAACCCATCAGTTTCCCATCCGCTTTACCACATCATCGATGGGTACCAAAATAGGGCATTGGATAAGGCATCCGAAGTACTGAGGTATATCATAGGGGCCACGGAGTTTTCCATCCGCTTTACCACATCATCGATGGGTACCAAAATAGGAAATTTGATAAGGCACCCGAAGCACTGAGGTATATCATAGGGGCCATGGGCACGAGAATAATTTTATGAATATGGGCATAGTCTGGTGTGTAGTTCTGACGTATATCTCGACCACGAAGGAGCGGAGATAGTACCCAGAATAGGGCTTAACTTGGTCAGTTTTATGACCCGTATATATGTATACTGTATTTAATTTTTTTTTTAACAGCTTTAGTATATTGTTTTCCCTCTTTATTGTACATTATTGCAATCTGATTAAAACACAAATCCTATTTTGTTTCATCTTTTATAATTCAAAATTTCGTTTTACTTGTCTTCACAAGACTAGGATCTGAAAGAGTTGGGTTGTACGTGACAAGGAGTAGGGTCGCCTGTCTAACCACTGCTTAACACTCCTACGCTCAAGCGAATTATTGAAATAAAAATTAAACCATATGTTAGTCCCGAAATGACCTAGTTTGTGTCGAGTGGACGTTAAACCCCATTTCTCTCTCTCCCTCTGAAAGAGTTGTTACATAACACGCGTTCTGGTTAAAGTGAGGGATTATTCCATGAAACGGTCCGTTCCCGTGAGTTCTTGTCGTGCGATGCACGGATCTGTGGGTAGACCACTAGAAACGTCAACGCTGATAGATTAATCAATGTTTGACGACATAGGGTCAATAGCCGCTGGTGCGAACCCTGAGGCGACCGTCCACTAGAACCGGTCAGATCTTCATGTAGTGTAGGTCATCGAAAGTATAAAAAAACGAAACGAAATATATATCTGTTATTTAATTTATCGCACTATATGAAGGCAGGGTGTTAGAAAGGCTATTATTTTTCAATAAGTCTGATTTCTGGGGTTTCTTAAATAACTTGAATGACAGGAAGACAGTTGTTATAAAATTAAAGTTGAACAAAGAGTTTAATTACGAGAAAAGCTCATAATACCCTAATCCAGTGATTCTCAACCTGTGTGTGCCGCGAGATATTCCTAAGTAGGCCGCGAAATTTTGAACGCATACAAAGACAATGCGAAAAACCACGTGATCCCAATTGAGTATTCACTGGTGTCTACTAGTAAGTTCATAGCTGTGTTTGTGTTTTTCT